CCCTCAACAGTGCTAACAAATTAAAGAGATATTTTGATGAGATGGACGTTCTTTTGGGAAAATTAATGTTTTCACTTCAGTACATTCTCATGAGAATGTTTTAACTGAGCATTCTCTCAACAATCAAATTTATAGAAAACTTCAATTAATTGAGGCAATCTAAATGTCTTCACGCTTTAAACGAACTTTAAATCCCATGAGCCCCGGTGATGAATTCCTTCTTATCTCAGCATAATTAGGCTGAAATTATTATTATATGGAATTTCAAAATTTATCATCAGTATGACACTAATATTATTTATTGTTGCATACGCAAATATGTTGCAAATACAAGTAATGATAAGAACACAACATTGAGACATATTCAAATATTACTTTTTTGCTCACAGTCGAGTGCTTTAATTGTCATTTAGAACGTTGTTGACTGAGAATGTGCCCTAAACTGAACGTTATCATTAGGCTGGTTTGCAACTTGGAATGATGACGCCTTCAAGGGTTCACTGCGCACGTGAGAGCCATATTTTCTGATATATTTTCAGGTAGTTGTCAATCTGAAGGTAACTCATTCACTTTTAATAAGCTCTGTCAGATGACTTGATGCATGAGATAACAACATGAAGTACACCTGAAATGCACTAAAGGCCTGAAGTCGGGCAATAATTCTATAATGAGATACACAAATTCCAAGTACAACATTTATCATGTATGTCTACAAATAAATGAGTCTGAACTTAGAAGACAGAAATAACAACAACTTTCAGGTGACCGGACGACGACTTTGTACATTTTGTTTTGGAATATATTAATAATAAACTCTCTTCAAACTTTTCTTGTAAATTCTGAAATCAACTCTTACAATACTAGGGCTTCCCGTGATCTTCATCTTTCCCAACCTAATCTTACTCAAATGCAACACAATATTCGTTATATTGGTTCCATATTATTTAATCAACTTCCAAATGACATTTTAACCCCTACCTCAAGGAAATTTTTTTACTGAAAAACTTTAAAAAAATATATATCTTCTCAAATGTTTACTCCTTATCGTAATTTATATAATGTGTTATTACGCTTCTTGGTTGTTACTTATTATCTTATATTAAATTGTGTCTTTGTTCTGTTTCTTTTGTTATGTATCTGTTTCACTGTTTACATATAATACTTAATTATTTAAGTATGACCAGGCTTGCCCGACACAAGTGTAAAGTGGAGTCATCCAATTGATTAACAACTGACTAATCGGAACAGCGCTAGGAATACGCGCGCGTCTCACAAACACACGTGTTGTCCCACAAACGCACGTGTTCGCGTATGTTTTAACACTGCCGTCTTGTGGGACCTTAGCAACAAAATCCAAGGGGCGGAGCTTAGCGGAAAGGTCTATTCAATTGTATATTAAGACATTCCTGTTGCTACTATGATATTTATTACCTGGTGCATCCCTCTTTAATGTAACTTCCAGAAATTAGAATATTCTACCAACCCAATCATCTGTGACTGCGGAAACGAGTACCAGGCCATGCAACATTTCCTAATGTAAACTTGAGGAAGCCTACACAATATTACAGATCTCGCCTGATACAACCAAAAGGCAAAGAAGGCGAAGAAGAGTGTCCAGTCATGGTCAGGAAAAATTTAGTGTTGTATGTGACCTTAAGAATCTAATCGAGAACGCAGACGGAATAACGCTTTACGATGTTTGCAATTGTCATAGTAAAAATCAAAAGCATTTAGAAAATATGTCATAATCGTGTGCCAAACAATAATTTAATTGCAAAATTCGTTATCGAGTTTTACGATTATTATACTATCGTGATAAATATTATTGGAATAATTGTAATTTTATTACCATACTATTCAGTACCGTAGCAAATCGAGATAAGAAAGTGACGTGATTTCCAATACTAAAGTACATTTTTTAGCCTTGGAGTTACCAAAGTAACTCCATGCTGTATTGCCAAGCCGTACCTTGCCCTACTACTTAACACATTTCATAACAAAAGATAATTTGAGATTACAAACCCTCGCCTTGTTGCGCCATATATTTGTATATAGTCGATGAGCTCGATCCGCTGGTGGTTGTTGTTGTATTATAAGGGTATAATA